CGGAGAGCCGCAAGGGCACGCGCCCAGGTAACGGCCTGGCTGACCTCATCTTCAACATCAGCTTCGCGCACGCCCTGGGCCCGCTGGAGCAGGAGCTACATTCAGGAGGGTATTTATTACAGCTACCACCGGCGGGAGAGCAAGCCGTTGCCACGTCAGGCCAGCTCCGAGGGCTTGAGGGGACCCTGCCAGAAGTATCCTTCATGGATGACGCGACATTCCTGTGCGCACTCAGGGACAACTCGAAAATCGAGAGCAGCATCTTTGATAGATTGTCCATCATTGCGAGGAGACTCAAGATCTTTGGGCATGACCTACACCCCAAGAAGACCAAAGCGTTGCTGCATATTGATGGGCACGCCAAACAGCATATCAAGGCGAAGATTTTCAAGACAAGCCCCATCACGTTGCAACGCGAGGAATGCCAGCCGCCGAACAGCACTGATGTCACCACGGCTGAGGTCACGACCCAGGGACTCACACTGGGCAATATCGTGGCGAGTGATGGCGGGGAGGGGCCGAACCTTATGAGACGCATTATCGACCACAGATCCGCAGAGGGTCCCTTGAAGAAGTCCATCTTCCGTCTGCCGCACATCGACCTCAAAGCCAAGTTGCTGTATCTCACGGCGCTGGCGCAGAGCAAGCTGACCTACGACTGCGAAGTATGGGGACCGCTGACAGTACAGCAGAAACAGATGTTGCAGAGCAGACATATGGCGAGCCTACGGGCCGCCGCACGACAACAGCGACACGGTGCGGGGCACATACATACTTTGGACGACGAAATATATTTGGCATGTGACGATGTACCGATCCACATGTACCTGCGCCGGCGGCGCCTGATGTACTTGGCCAGAATGGCGCATGCAGACACGCCCTTCCTCCACCGCCTCATCGACGAGCTTTGGGGGGATGATAAGGCCTGGAACGCCCTTATCGTCGAGGATCTGGACTGGATAAGAAGATTCCTACTAGACGATGAGGACATTGGCTGCGACATCGGGGGCTTAGTACGATGGTTACGAGCACAGCAAGTGCAAGCCGCACAAGCCATGATCACGCGTGCGTGGCTTAGGTACAAGACATGGCAGCACGACTTATACCGACATCGAATATGGCAAAGGCAGTTACACCGTCTTGCGCAAGAGTTTGGACTGACCACGCCCAACTTCGATGGACTGCCGACTGCACAACACAGTGGCTACATATGCTATGAGTGTGGCAAGATCCTAAAAACTCGGGGAGCATGGAGGCACCACCGCACCATGGAGCACATCGGCTACGACCTCCCCGAATTGCTTGCCCGCTCGACTACCTGCCCTGGGTGTGGGAAGGACTTCATAACGCGATCGCGCATACTCAAGCACCTGAGAAGGTGCCCCAGGTGCCTGGCTGTACTCCAAGCAATCGAAGTCCCAATTCATCTGCAGGAGGCAGCCGAACGCCGAGAAGAGGAACGAGAGGCTGTGGCGACGAGGAAGGCAATGGGGCATGGAGCTACAAAGGCACTGGTGCCCGCCCAGCAGGTCATGCACATCAAGCTTGCCGACTACATCGAGCAGCATCAGATCCAGCTCTCGCCGGCGCCGCCTGCAGCAGCGGACCCTCAACCAGCGACGCCGCCTGCAAGTGTACTCGCACCGTGCAGGCCCATGGTTACTACGGCTGTGTTCTTGCTGCACCTTTTCTCAGGCAGACGCCGAACCAAGGATTTCCAGCATCACTTCGAGATGAACACTCGGGAATGCAACTTGGTAGTATTATCGATCGACGTGCAGATAGACCCCGACAACGGAGACTTGACGAAGCCAGACGTCGTCGAGTTTTGGTGCGCGGCGATACGACAGGGCAAAATATTTGGCATTGTGGCGGGGCCCCCCTGCGAGACGTGGTGCGCATCGCGCTGGCATGCCGCCGAGGGGAAAGCTCCACGACCACTACGCACACACGACTTCCCCTGGGGCATACAAGCAGCCAATCAAGCGGAGCGTCAGCAGATAGCACTAGCCAACGAGCTATACAGGACAGCTCTACTACTCATCACCACGGGCCTGCAGTACAACGTATCAGCCGTACTCGAGCATCCCGCTCCAGCCACCTGGTGCCCTCAAGCGCCTAGCAGCTGGCAGCGAGCAGAGACGCGCTGGCTTTTGGAGCAGACGAACGTCGAGCTGCACTACATAGACCAGTGTCAGTTTGGGCAGGCTGCGCGAAAGCCAACATGTCTCATGGCGGTACACCTCAGCGAACTTACACAGGAGCTGGGGGCGGTACCTGGGGGACAGCTATGCCGACATAACGGACATGATAGAGCTTACGGACGAGACGGCCAAGGCGGCTGGAGGACCGCCCCCCTCAAAGAATACCCTTCAAGGCTGTGCAAGGCAATGGCTACGGCATTCGCAGCCCACTGGGGACAGCTTGCTGACGAAGAGGCAATGTGGGCCGAAACGGATGAATGCTATCACAGGTTCTACGCCCCCTTGGACTACTACATCGAGTCAGAGCAGCTGGGCCACGACTGTCACAGGGCATGGGGTAACCAACGGCGCTAGCAGCTGACACTGCAGCGGCACTACGTTTGGCCGCACAGATATTCGAGTTTAATTGTTTCAGGATTATTCATACTTGCCATACCCTGGAAGGGACCATCGGTTGGCAGTTTGGCGCATACTTTTGGCATCTTACAGATTGGAGGGCAGCTGGCATGGCAGAATTGCGCACAGTTGGGTAATATTTCAGAGCAGGCGCGTCAGCATCAGCGCACCACTGTATGTATTCAAGACCCGCATTGCTTCTGGGTTATTGGCGCTGCGTCTTGGACAGCGATTGCGTGCCATACTCGAGGGGGGGGGGGGGCGTAGCGCCCATACGGGTGGGCACGATCCCTCAATGGCGACGGAGCGTGCCCCCCCCCCTCGAGCACTTTCTGGATTTCTGGGTTTATTAGCTTTCTTTCAACACTGGCATTTACTTCTATGACTATCCAGCGCCCTGGACAAGGCACTATGGTGCCATGGTGTAAGTCCTGAGGAAGCCCCGAATGCGAGGGAAGACCTCAGGCAACGTCGCCTTGTTTTGCCCTGTTAGAACGCAAGTCCTGGGGAAGCCCCGAATGCGAGGGAACACCCCAGGCATAAGTCGCCACGTTTTGTTGTGTACCCTGGCGGCGACTGGCTACCTACAACTTGGACGGCGCCAGCTACCTACAACTTGACGGCGACAGCATACCCAGCACGACCCCGCACACCTCCGACCAAGTCAACGCTGTCCTGGTGAGGATCAAACTTCGAGACGGGCTCGAAGGGCGGGGGGGAAGGACGAGTACTTCCCGCGCCCACCAGCGGGGATGGTGAGGGGCAGGGGGGGGGTAGGACGGCCACTACCTGCGCCCCCGCGGTCCGCCCTAGCTCGCCACCCCCACCATTCCCATGGAGAAGGAGGAGCTACCCGAGCGCCCGAGGGCGAAGCACAGGACAGCCGAGACATCCCACTGCGACGACAAGGACCAGGCCTGGGGTCCGCCCCCACCGAGGGCACTGTGACCCCTAGCCATAGCGGGACGAGGTGGGACAGCCACGACCCCCACTTGAAGTCGGTGCATGGAGGCCTTGGAAGCCCACAACCAACGCAACACCAGCAACGACCCGACCCCCAATGACCTGACCAGCACGCTCCACACCCTGCACTCAGCCCTACAAACAACCGACATCTACAACATCCGAGATCAGCACCCTCCTGTACTACATAGGCGGGGGTGGCTTGACTGATGACATTGGACACTACGGCTAGTGAGCACCAGTACGACCAAGTCTGGACAGGATCAAGCTGGAGTACCAACCCGTCCAGTGCGTCTAGGACGAGGGATACGTGTTCGAGCACCACAGTGCCAGGCAGCACTGCAGGTTCAACATGGAGTACTCGACGAGAAGGGGCGGCCTGCCCCTCGGCGAGGGATACACAGCGCCAGGCGCCGAAGGGTGTATCCCCGTCGCCCTCGCGTGGCATGCGAGGGGCCGAGGCCTGACGGCCTGGATCGGCATGATGAACGAGCAACCGCTGCAGACCTGCTGGAGCCCAAGAGCGGCTCGGCGGGCCTCCACAGCGCGCTGCGCCGAAGGGTGGAGGCCGCCGCTTCCGAGGGCAGCCAACCACCCGAAGACCCACGGCGGCTGGGCTCAGCGCGAGGCGCCGAAGGGAGCCCAGCCGCCACCCACGCGGCCGCCAGCCCACAAAGAGGCCGACGGCCTGGCCGAGCGCCGCGCTGGCTGACGCCCGCTGGCACGGGCGCGCGCGGCGCCCGCCCGTGGGCCCTGACGGGCCCCCTTTTTCTTTTTGCAGAAACCCGGCCCCCCTTCTCCCTCCTCTGAGGTTTATATTGGTCCCTGGTTCCCCCTGCTTTCCTCGGGGTCGGGTTCCCGGGGCCGCTGTCCGAGTGCCCGCACGGCCCTGGTGGGCCGCTGCGGCGCGCTCCGCGCCCGCGGGGCGCGCGACAAGACGCTGCATAGCGAGAAATGAGAAATGAGAGGAGGAGGAGAAGGAGGAGGAGCAGGCCCCCGAATTTCCAGCCCCCCCCCCCCGAACGTTGCCCCCGGGAGTCCGGGCCATCGCTCCGCGCCTGGCGGCCAGATCCGGACGAGCGGGGCACGCCCCGAGCGCCCTCGGCGAGGCGCCGCCGCTGGGCAGCACCCCGAGGTGGGAGGAATCTTCTGGCAGCCGACGCACGAGTCCGAAGGCCTCAAGTCAGGAGGAGGAGGAGGGGAGGAGAAGGAGGAGGAGGAGGAGGAAGAGGAGGAGGAGGAGAAGGATGGACGACAAGCAGGAGGAGGAAGACGACGACGTCCCCCACCCCTCCCCGAGGAGCGTGAGGAGGGGGAGGACCAGGAGGGTGAGCGGGGGGGAGCATGAGGAGCAAGAGCAGGAGGAATAGCCTGACGTGGCCCCCCGGAGCTATCCCCGCCCCCGACGTTGCCCGCGAACCCGCGAGAGCCCCCCACCTCGCTCTCCTCGAACTCCGCCTTCTCCGCTTCCCGGATCCCCTTCGCGGCCTGCGCCGCCGCGCGCGAGGCAGGGCCGGGGCGGCAGCGCGCGGGGGAGGGCAGGGGGACACGAAGGAAGGCTCGGCCCCGAGGGCCCCGAGGGCGGTGTCGGTAGGTCAGGCTGCCTGCGAGGTCCTCCTCCTCCTCCTCCTCCTCCTCCTCCCTCATCCCTCCTCCTCCTCCTTCTCCTCCTACTCCTCCTCCTCTTCGTCCTCCTCCTCCTCCTCCTTCTCGACCTCCTCCGGAGCTCTCGAGCACCTAGGGGCCCTCGCCTCTGGAGCCCGAGCGGCCCACCTGACATCTTGCAAAGTCCCATCATCATGGCCTCTGGCTCCTCTACGTTGGCGGCATCCGAACCCTCCCAACATCAACCACCGATTCTCCCGAATCGATGGGAGTCGGGGGTACGGGTCGGATTTCGCAACGTCTTCGACGAAATCCGAACCCTACCCCCGCCGCCCGTCGAGTTGTCTGAACCGTTGATCGGCGAGGGGGAGGAGGAGGAGGAGGAGGAGGAGGGAGGAGGAGGAGGAGGAGGAGGAGGAGGAGGAGGAGGAGGAGGAGGAGGAGGAGGAGGGAGGGAGGGAGGGAGGGAGGGAGGGAGGGGGAGGAGGAGGAGGAGTACCTGGTGCACTTCGGCTTTCGCCGCCGATCGGGTAAGCTCCTCAGTTCACTCGGGCCCTCTCACGCCGTGGCCAGCGAACGACGGAACGTTTGCTGGGCCAGTCTTAAGTCGGGCGTGTCCCCCTACAGGGGGGATTTTCGACGACAAATAAAAAATACCCTCAAAATAAACAAACAATAATCCGAAAATAGCCTGGGGACTACTTTTTTGTATTGTTTGCCATTTGGGGGTATTTGTGTGTGTGAGTGTGAGTGTGAGTGTGAGTGTGAGTGTGAGTGTGAGTGTGAGTGTGAGTGTGTGTGTGTGTGTGTTTTTATTCTTTGCCCAAACTCCCCCTGTAGGGGAACACGCCCGACTTAAGGCCAATCTTTTCGGCGCCCTGGGGCCCCGTCCTGAGGAGGGCCCTCTCCCCCGGAGGGCCCCGAGGAGAGCCCCGTGGGGTCCAGGGAACGAGGGCTCCCAACTTCGCGCTCCGCGCTGCGCGAGAGCGCGCACAGCCTCGCGCTCTCGCGCCGCCTCCCAGGGGAGAGGAGAAAGACGAGGAGGAATCGGAGCCGAACCACGAAGCGCGAAGCGCGCACAACTTCGCGCCCTCACGCACTTTTTGCACAGCGAATGCAAGCTGCTGATTGCCTCTCTCGTGGCCAGGGGGTTGGGACCCTGGCTCCTGCTTTCGCCCTCGCAAACACTTGAGAGGAAAAATGCTACAAGCAAGACGGGAAGAGGAGTGCGAAGCCCCATTCAGGGGCCGAATCCGTCTACCCCAGGCTCCGGTGCCTGTACAAATTCAGACAGCAATGGGACGAGACCTCCGGAGCTCTACGCCGCGAGGAGAGCAAAGGCGTCGAGGGGTCTGGGAAAGCGGGGGGTCTGCCCCGTCGGCCCCACCTCTGGGGGGCCCGCGGGCTGCGGGGCACAGGGAGAGAAGCCCGGCTCTCACGAGCGCCGTGGAGGTGGAGGAGAGAGAACTACGGCAGGTTCGTGTCGTGCCGACCCCAGCGTTGGTTTCTGACACCGCAGGGATCGTTCAACCTTGAACGATCGGCCGCTGCCGCAACGTCCGATCGTTCAACATCGATCGATTCTGGGTCGCCGGCGGCGTTCAACCTTGAACGCCCGCGCTGGGGTCGCCGCTGGTCGACACGACGCAAACCTACCGTATGCAGATACACCGATTCTGGCCAGGCCCATCCTGAGCCTAGGATCGGTGCGTACGCCCTCCTACCTTGGCCAGGAAGGCATATGCACCGATCCTGGGCCAAGGATGGGCCTTGCATGTGCATAGCTCTCTTCGCCCGAATGAAGGTCTCGACTGATATGAAACCACCTTGTAGATCCGCCGGCCCCCTTGCGGCACAAGGCTGCGAGGCTGAGGAGTGCAGCTCCCTGCTCCAGTTGCAGCTTCCAGTTTCCACTGTTACAGTCCTGCTTTCTGCTTCATTACTCTTGAGTGTTGCTAGACGCGCGAGGGGGGGAGCCCCAAACCAGCTTTCGTATCTCGTCCAGACCGCATTGTCTGAATTCCTGGGGGGGCGTGGGACACGTAAAATACAATATATTCGGGTCTCCGAGGCCATCATCCCCTGTAAATTACGCCATGTTCGCGTCCCCGAGGCCATACACCCAGGTAAAATACACAATATTCGCGTCCCCGAAGACAAAATCCCTTTTGAATTACGCAAGATTCGCATCCCCGGAGCCGTAAACATTCCTAATGTATACAATATTCGCGCCCCCAAGACCATAAACCCACATAAATGACATAATATTCGCTCCCCCGTAACCCTGAACCTTCAAACATTATACAATATTCGCATCTGGAGGGCCATAAACCATGTAAATTACACCATACTTGCGTCCCCAAGGCTACAAACCATTGCAAAATTACACCATGTTCGCGCCCCCGCGGCCATGAACCTTCGGAATTTATACACATTTGCGCCCCCGAGGCCATAAACCAATGTAAAGTATACAATGTTTGCGTCCCCGAGGCCAAAAACCATTGCAAATTACAAACAACTCGCGGCCCCGAAGCCATAAACCACAGCAAATTGCCTAATAGTCGCGCCACCGAAGCCATAAACCCTTGCAAATTAAGATTGGCCCTCGCGTGAAGTCGCGACATTGCTTCACGTCAGCGTCCAGACATCCCAACACAGCTCTGGCAAGTCCCATTCTAAGAGAAGGGGGCCGTCGGCATGAGGGCGAGGCCCTTACGGATTTTCTGATGTGCTTGGGGTCTCCAAATAAGCGGGATTCGCACCCCCCCAGACGGATCTCGAATTCCGCGTTTGACCGGGGAGGGTGGCGGTCCCATTTGGACTCCTGGGGCCCTCCTTGATATCTCTTGAGCGATCTTGGGCCCCTGAGGGGCCCGAGATCTCCAAGATGGGCCGCCCCTCGTGAGGTCGAAGAGACAAGTCTTGAGGGACAACGCCTGTCAGGTCTCCATTTGGGGAGGACTTCTCTCGCGAAACTGCCGTTTTGGAAAATGGTGGAGGCATCATGGGACTCTCTTGAGTCATCGTAGACCCTCCTTGGAACCGAAGAAGGTAAGCGTTGATCAACAACCCCTCGAAGCCTCCATTTTCACAGGAATGCCTCACGCGAAACTGTTGTTTGGGGATCATTATCAAGCCATTATTCGGCCTGGTTGGGGCCCTCTTGGGGCCCTCTTGAACCATCTTAGACTTCTCTTAGAAAAGAACTGGCAAGCTTACGAAACAGCCTCCTTCGAAGTCTGGATGTGGAGACGATGTCTCACGCGAGACGCTGTTCGGAAAGTATTGCGGGTACAACGGGACACGCTAGTGCTTGGGCACCATGTTGCCGATGATGCCGATTGCTGCCGATCGCGGCTGCTTGATCATGTTCGACTAAATTTACCGCTGCTTGCTGCTGCATACTGCCGATTCCTCCCCTCATTCCTGCCTCTGGGTGTTGTAAGCCGCCTGGCCATTGAAACCCACCTGGAAACTTTGATCTGGCTTTATGTTGGCTCTCCTGAGGCCCACTTGGACCACCTTAGACATCCCTTAGAGCTAAAGATGAATGCTCAAGGTAACACCTCTTTCAAAGTCCCTGTTATGGAAGGATTTCTCACGCAGCGCTATCGTTTTGGAGATCCCATCGAGGAGTCTGATGCCATCTTGGAGGCATCATGGGGCCCCAGTTTGGGGCTCTTGGAGCCCTCTTTGAGAACCACCTTGGAACCCAAGAGACAAGCTTTGATAACCAAATCCATCGAAATCTCAAGTTTGAGAGAACGTCTCACGCGACACTTGGGTGAACATAGTGGGACCATCATGGACCTCTGTTTGGGGCTCTCTCGGGATCCTCCTGGATCCGTCTTGATCAATATTAGGCCATTGCTGGAGACCAAGGGGCAAACTTACCAAACCGCAGACTCTCGAAATACGCTCAATCTCAATGCTGACCTGACTACCCTCTGTACTTCGAGTCCCAACGAGAATCGCTCTACTAAAGTCGTGCTCGAGGGACGAAAGTCGTGCAACCTTCGTGCCCCCAAACAGTCTTGGACGAGGGCACGCTCGTAAAGCCTGCTTATCCCCATGTGCGTCTTAAACAAAGGGCCTGTGGCGCCAGATAGCTGATAAGGCCGCTCTCTACCCAAGTAATGGCGGCAAGTCCGTTCAGCACGCGTGTTCCACAATGACTGTTGAGGAGAATACGGCCGTAAACAATCTGCTTATCATCGAGTACCGTGAGGACGCGTGGTGAAACCCTGTTTTGGTTGTCTCGGAGCCCTGCCAGAGATGGGCCCGTGCAGACTACGTGCCCCCAAACCGCTCCTGGAGGGGATACGGGCGCGATTAACATCTGTGCTCTCATGTCACACCTGGACCGGAGGCCAGCGCAACTCCTGGATCCCGTGTGTTGTGGAAAGGGCAGGCACGGGCCGCCGATGCCTTGTCCGGTGGTTTGGTGCTTTGGCTGCCAGAAGGGGACAGACTCGTGCAACACTGGTGGTCCAAGCCACGCAGCGTACACAATCTCGTGCTGTCGTTTTCATGTGGGGCAAGCACGCTCAACCTACACGTGAAGTCGGACCCAGGCCATATTCACGTCCTTCAAGGACATGAGACCCTCCGTCGGCCAAAATAAACACAACCTCCAAGGCTACCCTCCCCGGGGTGCACAAGAACATCCCACAAGCACGAAGAACATTAGAGTACCCTCCCCGAACCGACCTAGATCTTACAATCTGGTCCGACTGTAACTCACAACGCGTGGAACCTATTGTTCCCGAATGTCTAGTTACAGGACGGGTGCGGGAACACACGCGCTCCCAACTCGTGTTGAAAAAGGAGGGGGCACTCGTGCGACCAATGTGCCCCCAAATGATTTTTCGGAGAGGGCGCCCTCCTGCCACGTGCGTCTGCGTTCTGGCAAGGCGTCCCGCGCGGAAATCCTACTGGTAAAGACCCCGTCGAATCGTCATCGGCCATCGCGGAGGCACCCTGCGGTCAAGCCCGAGCTCCCCTGACCCCCTTGGGACCCTCGTCAACAGCCAACTCCCCAATTGTTGGTGAGGACTGCCAACGCGACACGGATGGGGGCGTGCGCCCCCAAGCTTAGTGGGCCCTGGAAACGACAGGCCCGTTTTTTTACCGGTTCCGTCTTGCCGTTTTTGTTGCCCGTTCCTTCTCCGTTTTGTTTTACCAGTTCCGTCGCCGTTGTTTGACCGGTTCCGGCTCCGGTTCCGATCCTGGAGCCGTTTTTGTTGCCGTTTCCGGTCGCCGTTTTTTTGCCGTTTCCATTTTCAAGGGACATTTTTTTGGAAACGGTGAAAAAACGGCCCTGCCGTTTCCGGGGCCCACTAAGCCCCCAAGTGCGCGACACTGGGTCTGGAACCTCCTTCCCGCGGGGCCTCTAACTCCTCGCTGTCCTTCTTGATCCTCGAGGCAAGGTCGTCGATCTTGGCGGTCGAGGCCTCAGCGTCGCTGACGGCCTCGTCTCGGGACAGCTGGGGGGGACAAGAAATGACGACGAGGAAAGCCCCTTTGTTATCTCCTCTGCCGCCCCCTCCTCCTACCCACACCTCCTCCAACTCCCACACCTCCTCCATATTCATCCTCCCGCTCCTCCTTCTCATCCTCCGCCCCTTCCTCATCCACGCCATCTGCCCCCCCAATCCGCCTCTCCTTCTCTGCCTCTTCCCCCCTCCCCCCCCCTGGTCTCGACTCCGGTTCCTCTCCCTCCCACTATTCGCCCATCTCCTCATCTTCCCTCTCTCCCTCCGCATCTTCCCCCACATCGTCCTCCTCCTTCGTCCCCTCCTCCTCCTCCTCCTCCTCATCCTGTTCATCGACTTCTCCCTCCTCTTCCAGTTCCTCCTTACCCTCCTCTTCCTGCTCCTTCTCCTTCTCCTCCTCCTCCTCCTCCTCCTCCTCCTCTTCCTCCTCCCCCGTTATCCTCTCCTCATCCCGCTCCTTCGTTCGCTGCGCCTCCGAATCCTTTCCTCTACGCTTCTTTCCCAGTGCGGATGCGCTCAGCGACTGTCACCAGCGGCGCGGAAGAAATGACCTCCATGGGATGGCGGCGACGACATTTGGTGATTCAGTCGAACTCTGAGTTGGCCCGAGCCCTCTTACTACTGCTTTTAAAGTCTGAGCTCCTGAAGCCTGGCGGCTGGCGAGCTGCGGGCAGGTGATGCGAGTGTATTTTGCACGACGTCTCGCAAATCCTCCTCCTCGTTCAGCTGCTGGGGCTGTCGGCACTTCGTCTGCTAGTGCTTCGTCTTCTGAATGTTAACTTTTTGCGATCGGTCGGGGTTCTTCTTCGGGGGCCGTGGTGGCCTTCGTTCCCTGCCCGATCAGCAGGTGGAGCAAATGGTGGAGAGGAGCATGAGAATGAGGAACAGTCGCAGTAGGACAGGAGGAGGGGGTTGGAGAGCGAGTGAGAGGAGGAGGTGCAGGGAAGAGGAGGAGAATCGAAGAAACATGGGCTGGGCTAAATCGACGCAAGATCGAGGCTAATCGACGCTAAGTCGGCGCGATCTCATCGATAACCAAACACTAAATGACGCTAGTGCACATTAAATACAAAATTAGGAGGGTACACAAGGCTGCCAAAATTCACCAGCGAAAGAGAAGGGTCGAACTGCTGGCCGGATCTGCGCCTCGTGGCCCGAATTTGTCGGTATAGGAGGGGCGGATACAGTCGCGATCTAAGACACGCTGCATCACAGAAGACAAACACCTCGTACGAATGCAACATGTCACAACCGAGCCAACACACTGCACGACACAAGAGGCCGTGTATCGTGAGGGCGTGAGGGTATTACACAGACCACCCTTTGGACGATAAGCACGTTTGGGGGGCGAGGAACTTGCGGTTCCACTTGCATTCAGATGTCATGCCGATGTGGATTTCAATGTTCACGTCTAAATTCGGTTCGATTGAATCTAGATGTGCATTTCGACCATATGGCACTTATGTTTGCAATTCAATGTAAGGTTCGAGTTGCTTGTCGATTTGATGTTCGATATGTA